TCATCCTTTTTACGAGTAATATTTTTTTATAAAGTATAAAATAAGGGAAAATATATTAACAAAACCATATTCTCGAAAATATTAAATACACTAAATTAAAAATGTCAACTCAAAAAATCATTATTTTATCAAAGTTTTTTTTAGTACCATTGCCTATATTTGTACCTTTAGTACCATTGCCTATATTTGACAGAAGTTTTTTTTTTTTATAGAAAACTCACCATATCTTGCACCCCTAATTTTAAATAAATTTAAATAAAACTTTCTTAATTATTAAAATTGTCCAGTTTTTGAGAATAGCTCATTAGCAAATATTGAAACTAATTTATTTTTGTTTTGGAAGTTACATAATATTATTTTTTAAATCCACCAGTTGTCATGTACTACAATAATGAGGTACATGAAAAACTGATATGTGATTCCCTTAAAAAAATTTGGTGCAAAGGGACCTAAAGTTTCGAACAAATCCTTTTAAAATGCCACACATGCTAGACCCACTCGAGAAAACTAAGTATTTCAATAAGTTAAGAAAACTGTATAGCAAGCAAAATTATGCGGCTAGAATTTTTTTTTGTATTTGGTTGCGTCAAGAAGTCCTTACGGTCTTATCGCAGAGCACCGTGGATGAGCATTTAATTGGAAGTTCATGCCTCCTTCCTAACTGATGTCGCAAAACTTGCCCATAGGTGGGGTATGAACCACGAATCCTATGTTTCTGAGGCAAGTGCGCCACTGCGCCACGACTACAAACTGAATTTGAAATTCAAAATTGTATTTTAAGCTGGTAAAGCTGTTCCTCTAAAACCTCTTTTACTTGAACCTTACCACTGGTTGGTAGGATTCAACGCAGTCAATAATAATGAATGGTTTAACATTTTCTTGAGCCACCACAAACCTGGATGTAAAACGTTCCAGTGACTAAATCAAAATAGAACATTCAAAGAAGCGTATTGCACCAAGAATAAAATAAAAACAAACTATGGTTTTGATGTACGTATTAAAGATTACACCAAGAATAAACTAAAAAACAAACTATGGTTTTGATGTAGAGCAAATGGACATAAAAATTCCTAATTGATCACCAAATACAATGCGTGTAATATTCAGTTAAAGAAACACAAATATCAAGCTAGTTGTATGTTAGGGTTAGGGTTAGGGTTAGGGTTAGTTACCCTAACCCTAACCCTTAACATAAGATTTAGATGGTGAACGCGCACATGTACTAAAAAACTGTGCAAACAGTTTATTGGTACCGTGCAATTTAAAAGTCGCCGTTTAGTTATAACATAGAAAAAAGCCAATGTGGCTCCACTCTTCAAATAAGAATGTAGACTCAACCCAGGCTATTGCCAGCATTTATTCTTAACATCAATTGTATGTAAAACGACAAAGAAAATAATGCGTGACGATATGATTGACCACCTAGTAAAGCAACGCCTTAATTCACTAAATCAACATAGGTTCATTAATAAACAAGCGCTTTTGACTAATTTGTTGTAATTGCTTGACATAATTTTAAAAGCATTATCTTAAAAAGGTATCTATGGACGTAATGTTTGTAGGCTTCAGTAAAGCGTTCAATATGGTTCCGCATTAGTTGTTAATTCACAAACTTGAGGCATTTGGTTTCACCAAAAGTCTCTTGATTGGAGTAAAAAAAGTTGAAAAACTCCTAATAGGAGTATTTCAAAAAATTTTGAATTATTTAAACAATTTATATGTGATAACTGATATTTATGAGTACACCATATGAGCAAAACATGGTGTACTGAGAAATAATCTATTAAGACTATTGTAAACTTTAAGTTTTCAAATTATAAAGAAGTTCATCAGTTTAGAAGCTCTTGTAAAGAAAGAAAGGGGTTTGTATATATTTATTATTAAAATTTGGTGTTCAAACTAAAAAAAGATTTGTGTTCAACCGCTAATAGTTAAAAACTAAAATTTAAAATAATAAATAAAACCACAATCAACATTCTTGGCCACCAGGCCACCTTCATACAGACCTTTGTGCTCAGTTCACATAAATAAAATAGTTAAAACTAAATCAAGCAAACTACAATATAAAAAAAAAGAACTACAATATAAAAAAAAAAAAAAAAAAAAAAAAAAAAAACTAAATCAAGCAAAAATAAAGGCCTTTATTTTGTAGGTGATTTTAACTTCGACATGAATATCATTTAAAAAATATATTTCTTTAACGTCATCTATCAGAAAGGTTACGTTTCAATAATTAGTAAGCCTACAAGGATCACTGGAGCAACAGCCGTAGATCAAATAGCTATCAACAACTTTACCTTGAAAAAAGTAACGGGAATATTTAAATGCAACATTTCTGACCACTTCTCCATATTTATTGTCTCACATAAACAGTTGCGCAAAAAATCAATTAAAATCCATAGAAAATTTTACTTTTTAAAGATATATACTAGGATGATTTTGATAGTGTAAAGGTAAATAAAGCTTACAATAACTTTTTCGATAAATTTCAACAACTTTATAATACCATTGATTTTTATTTTTAAAAATAACAATGAATGTTGTTATTGTTACATTTAATAAAATGTGAGTCGTGGAACTGTAATTCTGTGACTTTAATAGCTGATAAGAATACAAATAAAATTTTTAATAAAATAATAATAACAATAATAAATATGATAACAATAATAAAAACAATAACAATAACTAACATGCATTAAAGTTACTAAAACAAAGATTAAAGTCACCACCTTTAAGCCTGCCACATTTAGAATTTCATAAATTCGCAAATTCTTAGTGAGGGTGTTAGTAAGAAAGGTGTTACTATCAGACTTAATGTTTGAAAAAAAGTCACTTTTTTGATTTTTGACCATGCGATTAACCACAGCACGAATGTGCTTCATGGACGATTCATAATCAGAAAACTTGATGTGTTTTTTCAATCGCAATTTCCTTCAATTGTAAGTTTAATTTTTATATCTAACAACAATCAACAGCAAAAGCAAAATACAGCATTTTTATGGCTCGAATAAACGCCAACGATGGTTTGAGCATTCACCATTTCGTAATTTTCTAAAAATCCGGCAAAAGGGTCACTTTTCAAAACTCCTATTTTGCGCATTTTTTATTTTTTGAATCAGGAAGCGGTTCTTTTCGACTAAGTAAACATCTTCTTTATCACTAACTATAGATGGCTATAAGCCTGTATCATTCCAATCAATATTTTGGTTCTCATTTGCATCACTTGAACCTGTGTCTTCCTTGCCTTATTTTTTTTCTGTAAGCTAGCCGGTTTATTCACCAGTTTTTATAAAGCTATCTGATTAATTGAAGTTGATGTTGTGAAATGTGGTGGTGGCTCACGAAAAACAAAATTTGAGAAAAAACCTGACACAAAAGAATGTTTTAAGGTGGTATCCTGTCATTATTTTTTTATACTTTACTCATAATAAATACCTTTGACAAAATACTAGCATACTTGATAAAAATCTAAAACGTATTGCAAAAGGATTTTTAATTTAAAAAAAAATACTTGAGTAAAAACCGAATTATTATCATGCTATACTTATATGACCTTTTGATTTGTTAAACAACAAAATTTATTCAATAGGTTGTAGATATTTATATATCAACGTTCAAAAAATTTATATAAATATAAAAGACCTACGAGAAATGCAATGAAGAATTTGTATAATTATAAAACCTCTTTGGAAATTGCAATAAAAAACAAATTTCTTTTTGTAAACTTTTTTTTGATTACAAAATATCTACCAATGTTCAAGGAATTTAAATAATTATAAACCCATTCAGAAAATGCGATAAAAAATAACTTTGTTTTTGTAATGAAACTTTAAAAAATCTTATCAATACAATATCTAAAAACTTTTGCGCAACTACGAGGCCTCCACCAATCGGAGGCCCTAGGCAGTTGCCTATGCCTATAGCCGGCCCAGGCCTCACCTTCGTCTTTCGCAATATTATAATTATTATTATTATTGCCTTTGGTCACTCAAATTTATCAAATTACAAATTTCTTTTTAAGTGATTTTATCTTTAGGAATCATTTCCTAATTACAATAACCGCCTGATTATTTATTTTCGTATTATTTTTCGTATTAAAAATTTTTAGAGGTTTAATCGAGCAAATTTTAAACAAATAATTAGAATCTTACTATAACTAAGAATAAATAATTATAGTTCAACATTCTACTGTTATTTTTTTTTAAGAACTTTATTTGAGTATTTTTATTTCAAAAAAATATATACATATATACTATTGAGCCGAACTCAGTTTAATATGCATTAACAAATAACAGTATATTAAATGGATTTAAGGATAAATTAAATATATGGATTGTATTTATTAATTAAATAAATAGATTGGAATGTATTAAAATATTTGTCAACTTCGCTTTTTGCAAAACGCAAGGCGTTGGCGAATTTAACGCACAGATCCGTTGCCACACTTCAGGTATAATAGTTTATATGCTATATATATATATATATATATATATATATATATATATATATATATATATATATATATATATATATATATATATATATATATATATATATATACATTTGTAAAGATTTAATTAGATGAGTTTTTATACTGAATACATAATTTGGTTTAAAAGTGGTTGCTGTCACTCGTATGCGGAGCAACTTGCCTGACTTTGCGCCTCTGAGTCAGACTGGCGCAATCTGTATTTGGCGTATTTATTTTATGAGATATTTGTACTAAAATATTTTTAAAAGTTTTTAAAAAATTATTTACATTTTAAAGAAACACATTAATTACCACCAAAGTAAATATTTTCTGAAGTTTTGGTTTCTCAACATATATACTCAAAAAACAAACATAACAATATTTGTGAATTGCTTATTTTACCTGTGATAACGCAACAACAGCAAAAAAAAGATTTTTGGCCTAGCAGACATAATATTTGTGCGCTTTAAAATTTCTAGTGTAGTTGCGTGTGAGTTCAATTATAATTTACCTACATACCCCGTCAACATATTTCAAATGACATTGACGTTGAGTTATGATAAACTTACATAACATGATTTAACGATGATTAAAAAATAGCTAGCTTAAGACTTTTGAGTTTGTTATTAAATTTGGTTTTGTTCGTAAAGGAAGTAAAATTTCTATGCTGTATGGCATGCTTTCATCTTGTGTAAGTGTTTTTTGTTTTTTTTTTGTTTTTTTTGTTGGTTATAATGTTAAGTTAATAAAAAGTTTAAGAGGAAAATTAACCTAAAATTTTTTAAATCTATCACTCATTAAGTCATGTTTATTTTCACTTAAGTGATGACTGTGCCTAGTATGATTTTTTTTTATCTTGATTTTTTAATTTATTTAAGTTAAGAAATACTTGTTTTGTTTATTTTTATTTTACTCTTTTTTTAAAAGATTTCTAATTTTTGTACTTTTTCAATAACTCTAACATCTGTAAGATTAAAGGAAATGAAAAAAAAAATTTCTAAAATTTTTTAATTATTTTATTTTAATCTTTTTAAATTAACGTTAAGTTTTTAGAAAGCATTAATTAGTCTCTAAAAACTAAACGTTAATTTAAAAAGATTATAACAAAATATTTTTAAAATTTTAGTTAAAAAAGTTTCAAAATTTTCGAAGTTAGTGTTCTCGTTTTTTAGATACCTTCAAAATTTCTTTTAAAGAAAAAAACTAATTTTTGTCTATAAAAAGTAAAGTGATGTCTAATCTACTTTTCGAAGTTCTCTCGATAATATATTAATAAATATATTTTTAATTTATTATATTTTATAAAATAAAAAAAAAGTTAATAAAGTTATAAATTTCAATCGTCCTTCAATCATTCATTTTTGTTTCATTAACCTATGATAATAGGTTAATGAAACAAAAATGAATGATTGAAGTTACAAAGTTACAATATAGAAGTTACAAAGTTACAATAGGCTGATTTAGAAATTGAGACGCAGACGTAAAACGTCGTTGTAAAACCACGGTCTCGTTGTCTCGTTATTCAAATGCAACAAAGGCATAGAACAAACCCGTAAAAGAAAAAACCGATAATTTTAAACAAAGCCGATTGGTTGTTAGTGACAAACCGAACACCTTTTTATTTATTGGTATTTAGTTTATGCAAACAAAGAACTCTAAAATAATGGCACAATATTATAAACAAGCAAAGCGTCTGCTATAACAGTTTTGCAGGAGATATATCAATATAATTATAAAGATATCTTAAAGTGTTTGTTTGACATAATTTATAAACCTAGTTACACTTTATTACCTTTGTGTTGGTATATTTTAAAAAAATGTGCTACTTTTAAAAGCAGTTGGAATAAATTATATAACATATATTTCATTTTGTGTTGTGTTAACACAAAAACTATTTCTCTTAAAACATTACTGAAGCGATAATAGCTGCTTGTATCGACTTCAAAGATATAAATGCTTTTATAACAATAAGTTAAAAGTAACTTATGTTACTTTTAAACTATTCTTATAAAAAAAAGGAAACCAAATATCAATTAAAGTTTCAAAAAGTGATATTAAATACCGCAAACAGTTTTTTGAATGGGGCTAAAAGTTATGATTATTTATGCAAAAACGACTTTTTTAGAAAAATTAGCTCTACCATAGTTTATCTGAATCTAACTTGACATTATTGTTAAACATACTCATTTAGGTGTGGTATTAAAAATAATAACTTCAATTTTCATTTAAAAAAATGGTTTTTCGTGGATAATTTTCCCAAATAATGTTTGAAAATAAATGTCAAGTTGCATTCATTAAAAACAAACACCAATACGTGCTTTTATAAAAAAATCAAATCCATAGACTTATTTAAAGCTAAGCCCCAAAGTACTTTAAGCTAAATATTACATCTTTTCTAAATAAAAACTACGCTTGATGGTTTGTTATAGTCGCATTACTTTTACCAGATTATAATAGTGGTTAAAATAATCTTTCCATACATACCAAATATGTCATACTTTTTGATGAAAAAACTTACATATATTGTAATTGAAAAAACTTATATTTTTGTTCGGAAAATTGTGTAACATATCTTAGTTGCATTCAGTTTATACTCTGATTTAAAAAAGTTTACAAACCGGAACGTAGACTTGTGTTTTCGATTATTAAAAAAATCAACGAATTAAATGCTTTTGTCTAAAAAAATGCGACGTTGAATAAGAAAAAAACGAACTTAAACTTTACCGAGTTTTTTGTTTTATTTTAAATAGTGTTAAATTTGTTTTTATAATTCTTTATATTCTATTTGTAAATTGCTTATATATATATATATATATATATATATATATATATATATATATATATATATATATATATATATTATATATATATATATATATATATATATATATATATATATATATATATATATATATATATATATATGTATATATATACATATATATATATATATATATATATATATATATATATATATATATATATATATATATGTATATATATATATATATATATATATATATATATATATATATATATATATATTTATATATACACACACATAAAATACAACATTTTTGCTACCTGAGATCTTTTAAGTGTACTAAAACCATTTTGACCTGCTGATTTCAAATATGTCATTGAAAATTGTGTATCACATCAGGTTTTAAAGTTATATTGACATCTTGATTTACCGTTTTAACACTTTTTGATTTACCGTTTTAACACTTTTAATCTTGATTTACCGTTTTAACACTTTATGGTCATTGGAAATATAATGCCAATGCTTCTAAATTTCAATATAAAAACTAAAATTTTTATGCAAATAGAAGTGCAAAAGCAACTACACAGTATCATATGTAATTAGATGATGTTGCTTTTCTTTTGTAATCAGTGTCACACTCTCGCTGTAAAAACCAACAACAATCGCCCATCGTGCTGCGGTCATACCTCCCTTGACATCTATTTTTTATCGTTGCTATTTCTTGCTGAAAACGTTCACCCTGTTTGTCGCTTACTGCACCTAGATTGAGTGGGAAGAAACTGAAATGGGAGTGCAAAGAGTTAATTTTCAAGACATTCTGCAACTTATATTCTTGTATTTTGTTAGTACTCTTTTAACCAACTCTTCATAGTTTTCAGACCTGTGGTTTCCCAAAAAGTTAAAAACCACAGCCACAAACGCAACCCAGGCTGCCAACTGAGCAGGCTGCAGCTGTGTCTTGAAGGTGGAATCACGAATGACTTCACGAATTTGAGGTCCGGTGAACACACCCGCACTAATTTTTGCTGGTGTAAAAGTGGTCTTGAACTTCTCTTGAAGATAAGCAAAGCTACCCAAATCCTTTCCCAGAGCCTTAACAAAACTTTTGAACATTTCAAGCTTTATGTGAAGAGGAGGAAGTAGTACTTTGTTAGGATCAACAAGAGACTCATGTTGTACATTGTATCTGCCAGGTACATGATCAGTTCTCGCTTTCCAGTTTTTAACTGTGTTATGATTTTTGTTGTCACGGCAATTCCATAGACATAGAAAGCACATGTACTTTGTGTATCCCAGCTGCAATCCAAGAAGAAGGGACACTACCTTTATATTCCCGCAGAGGCATCAGTTATGATCTCTATACTTGATAACGTTGAGAAGCAACTTCATAGAATCATATGTCTCATGTAATCCAACTGCGTGTGCTAATGGAATAGATGGCATCACATTCCCATTGTGTAGGAGAACTGCTTTAACACTAACTTTACTCGAGTCTTTAAACAGACGCCAGTCTCCTATAGTATACTCACAGTCCAGTTCTTTCATTAAACCATTAATGTCAGTGCAAAAACAGATACTTTCTCAGTTCTTGTCATAAAATTTAACACGAAATATGAAATTGTTGTTCCGCTTTGTAACAAGTTCTATTGTTGTAAACGAGATCCTAGCAGTTCTGCCTTCTTTTTCATTAACCTTAGATCCCTTACTAAATTGTTCAATTCAGCTTGGCCAAGAAGAAGAGGTATCTTTTTTATTATCTATGGGTTCATATGCATCACTCTCCTGCTGCCTGTGACTTTCCTCATTATCATCGTCGCTTTCACTATCAAGCCATACTGGAGGATTGGGGAATGGATTTTGTTCATCGTGTGGAACAAGTTTCAAAGTAGAGTCACAGTTTGGATAATGAATTGCTGATTTTTTTTTCTTGGAGTATCCAGAAATATTTGTCATGCAGAAGTAGCAGTTCGAATGATGATTCTTAGCTCTTGCCATATCATTGGTACCGTAAATGGCATAGACTTCCTTTTATCATTTAGTCACTGGGTAAACCCCACATAACAAACGTTGCAGCAAATATGTGGCGCCCAGGGTGCGGTCTTGATCACATACTTTGATCACATACTGTTTTGATCACATACTTTAGTAGTGATCAAGACAGTATAAAGTAGTGATGATAGGCAACCTTCACTTTCCTTTAAGTTGTTTCCGCTAATCACAGGGAGTAAAGTGTCCACAGATATAACAGAAATAGTCTGTATGATTCAAGCAACCCATTTTAACTTTCTTCGTATTGTTTTGAAAATACTACACGATCAGTCTAAAATAAAAAAACATAACATTTAAAAGTAAAGTGCACAATAAGTCTCCAACAATAAATAAGCACAATAAGTCTCCAACAATATTAAACAACAAAAAAGCTAGCTACATAATAACCAAAAATGTAAAAGTCATATAACTCAAAAACCTGACGTGATACATATATTCAGATTGCACCACTGTAATAAGCATGTCAGAATTAGTCAGACTAAAAGGTTTTTTCTCAGGTGGAAGACAGAAAATTTTTTTTTGGTCCTTTATATAATTGACTCAACATAAAAAATGTTTTTTTAATCGATAAAAAGTCATAAAAACATTGTATAAAAAAATAGACTTCCTTTACACTTTTATAACCAATAAATCAATCATATAATTTCTAAGATAATTAATGCCGTAATAAACAAAATAACTTTTTTATTTAGTCTTTTAATAACTTAGGAATCATCCATAAAATTTGCAACAAAAATTTAATTAAAAAATTAACAAAAAAAGATCACAAGTTTTCTTTTGGGATAGTATTATTTAAACCAAAAAATAAAATGAAAATTTCCGCGCCTAATAGTGAATTTTACTTCAGTTTTTTAGAAATAAATTTAGTGCTATGTATT